TCATCAAGTAATTGTAAAACGTGCAAAGAAACAAAGTATGGTCTACTCACAGGAACGAGAAATTAACAAGCTGTCACCATGAGTCCTACCTCTCTGGTCGCTGGGGATGGATCAAGAGTGTGCCACTCTTGGTGGGCAGCTATTTGAGACTACATTTAAACACGAACTCCAGCAGAACCCCAAAGGCTTGGGAGAAGAGCCTGGTTAAGTCCACTCGGGAGGCTGTCTCTAAGAACTAATGTGGGAAAAGCCAAGAGAGATTTGAAAAACAGAATGAAGAGAGACGTGCTTTTCAATACGTGGCAAAACATTACAGAGACAGAGCAATGAAAACATGGTTTAGCTCATCACAATTCTAAAAGAGGTCTGTAAGACAGAAACAAACAAGCCAGAATCAGAGTACTTACAAGCTATGAGTTAGGACTGACTGCAAATAGGAGAAAACCCAAGATAACCAAGCGGCTAGCAGCTCCATCATCCAAACCAGCCAACCGCTGGCCTGTGATGTCTACCAAAGCCCAAGCAGGAGCCCCCGTCGAGTCTCGCTGGCCTTAGATTAGGCATCCATCCCAGGAACTAAACTGGGCTCACAGGGCGGGTGCTGTGACTGGCCTGCCAGGGAATGTGCTGGCTCTGGGGTATCAGCTTCCCTTTCTAAAAGGATGTAGGGAAGAGCACTCAGCACACAAAAAGGAAAACCACTCGGGGCGCCTGGGTGGCTCAGTTGGTTAAGCGGCCGACTTCAGCTCAGGTCATGATCTCACGGTCCGTGAGTTCGAGCCCCGCGTCGGGCTCTGTGCTGACAGCTTGGAGCCTGGAGCCCGTTTCAGATTCTGTGTCTCCCTCTCTCTCTGACCCTCCCCTGCTCATGCTCTGTCTCTCTCTGTCTCAAAAATAAACGTTAAAAAAAATTAAAAAAAAAAAAACCACTGCAAATGATCATTTAATCCATGATAAAGACAGTATTTCGAGTCAGGGACAAAAAGATGAGTGGCGTAGACAACTAGCAGTTCATTAGGAAAATAAAAATCAGACACATCAAGCCACATCTTGTCAAGAAAAATGGAAAAGATCAACGAATGACAATTTTTTAAAGGTTGTTTCACATAAAGAATACTTGGTATGTAACTGGGTTGCAAAAAGAATTTTCCTGTGCTCCATTTCTTTCAGACAAGAAATAATAGTACTTCATCATTGCATGGAAATTTATAGGGCACAGGGCAGTCACTGAATCATTTTCTCAAAAGAAATCATTCTTGCTCCCAAATTCCTGTATCTAACATATGTGAATTACATAATAAAAATGAAAAAAAAAAAAGTATACCTCCGCAATATTAGGATGCTTTATAGCTCCAAGGAACAGAAGTCTCAAGTCCAACAGGTGTAAGGAATGTGAACGACCTTCACCTTCCGGGTACAGAGCGGCTTCCGAGCTGGTGAATTCACCATCCGTGTGCTCCCTGCCTGCGGTTCTGCCCTCCCTCAGCTCACCACCCTGACCTCAGCCCTGAGTCACAAGACGCAATCAACAGGTATCCAGATGGACAATGCCATTCTGCCCTGATTCCTCAATGAAGAATCACCCCAAATACTTCCCTAAACATCCTGTTGGCCAGTGTTTGGTCAGACTCTCAGCCCCAAACAGCCTCTGGTGAGGGAGGAAAACCAGGCCACACCAAGGCACTGCCACGAGGAGGAAGGGCTCAGCAGCTGCCGACCTGCTGTGTGGACACTGAGTGAGGAAGGAGACAAGGACAGGACACTGTCTCTGGCGTCCTGTTGCACACGTGGCCCCTGGGTCCCTCACACGAGAACTCTGTCGCTGTACATCTGTAGGCACCCCAAATACTGTCAGGAGCAGGAAAGAGAAGGGTATTTTCTACACACGCCTGTCTTCAGTGTAACAAACACTCTGTTTTGCTAACAGAGCTGCACCCTGCCTTTGCACACTTAATGACTGTGTTTTTATTAAATCAACTAAACCCAAGACAGGCAAACACTTTTTTTTTTAAGGTATTGTTTGCCTTCTTTATTAAAGAGCAGATCAGTAACGATGGGCATCACCATTTATAAACGCCAAAAAGAGAGTGAGAGAATAGATAAGTAGTGAGGTACTTCTCCAAAAGGTTTAACGAAATTTCTCAGAGCTCTGTTAAGAAAAGTAGAGTGGACATCCGTGTCCCGACCACTATGTTCAACACTCATTAAGATCTTGCTACTTTCTGCTTCATCTACTTATGTATGCATAAGCTGCACTTATGTACTTCAAAGCTGCAGACATCATGACAGCTTACCTTTCTGTTCCGCATGGCATCCTAGAAAGATTCCCATCCATAACCACCATTATCACACTTCGGAAGAGTAACTAATTCTGTAATATTACCGAATACCATTCCACATTCAAATTCCTCTCAATGCCTCCAAAGTACATACGTGGATGTCTTCTTGAGCTGGATGTTTTGGGGGATCCGATCAAGGATCACACACTGCATCTGATTATGTCTTGTTAGTCTCTTTGGATTGAAAGAGTCCCCCTGACCCTTTCTCTCTTTTTAAAAATGACATTGGCTTTTAGAGATCAGGCCAGTTGCCTTGGTGAATGCCCCGCAGATTTCGCTGATTGATTTCTCCACTGAAGCTGTTCCTCTCTTCTGTATTTTCTGTAAACTAAAAGACTAAACGCTTGATTAAAACCATATTAAATATCCTGCCAAGACTATGCCCCAGTGCAACGTACGTACGTACCTCACACTGCATCTCAGCAAGAGGCACACGATGTCACCCCTGGTGAATGGGGGTGAACAATCATTCCATTGTGAACGTTACCTTTTACAGGGTCAGTGAGGAAGATGTCTGTGGGAGATTCTCTCACACTGCACAAACTCCCAGTTTCCTTTGTGTCAAATGATCCTGGCATCCACTGATCATCTTTGCCTAGATGCCCTAGGGGTTACAAACTAGCAATTTTTCAAATTCTATCATTCCTCCTACATTTATTAGTGGACACTTTTCTGTAATAATCAGCCTTTCCACAACTGTGCCCACTAAAAGGGCAGGGTGGAAATTCTTCTAATTACAGAGTAAGGCGTTTGGGCAAGATTTGTCTCCAATAGTGGAAATGAGCTCAAGCCCCTTTCTCTTTTTCTGTATTGCTGTGGACAGATTTTTTTGTTTATTCGAATGTTGCCATCAGTCATAGTCGGTCTGTTTGGTCATCAAATTACCTCAAATTTGGCCAAGGAGAAACCCTGCAGGCTAGCTTCTGGGACCTCTGACATCTCCCCATTAATCTTTGAGTATTTCCTTGTTTTCTGACACAAGAGGTCCCAGCCTCATCCTGGACACTTCAGGGCCCAGGTCTAGAACCAGCTGTCTCTCCGGGGAGTCCTGGTTCCTTGTGTGGGAAATGCTGGCACCATATCTGCTCATCTGTGGGAGGGTGCCATGGCTTCTGGACCCTCAGTGGACAGTTTTAGATATACAACTTCTAAAAAATAATGAGCAATACTTTCAATTCATATTTCTCATTATGGCAAGGTTTACACAAATTCTTGTTTTTATGGTCACCTCTTCTCTTAAACTGGGGGTTTGGGCTCTGGTATCTCCAATGGTTTCTTTTTGCCTTATCTTACAATATACAAAAACTGGATCCAAAATAACACCAGAATTACTAATAAAATTAATGAGCCATGTTTATAAGTTTTTGCAGGTCTTTGTCCTTAAACATATCCCACTGAAAACATACAGTCCTAATTCTGCATTCACAAGTTTCTTGTAAAAATTATTTTCTCTGTGCGGTTACCAATTTGATATAAAGATGATTTCTGTTTTCAATTTCAGAATGCTTTTATTTTCTATTTTTGAATATGTAAATAATTTTACATTTATTCAAAAGTCAAAATTTCATAAAAAGGTGTAACGAAAGAAATGTTGCTTCCATCCCTGACTCTAGCATGTTCACTCTTGCCTCCAATTCATTTTATTAGTTTACGGTATATCCTTCTAGTACTTCCCTTTGCAAAAATAAGCGAGTGTGTGTGTGTGTGTGTGTGTGTGTGTGTGTGTGTGCAAGTTACTTCCCGACTCTTACACTGAATGTAGCGTGATATGTGGTGTTGTGTACTTCCCTTTCCTTAACAGTCTGTTGGGGTATAGTACTTCAAATTTGTGAAACGTATCACTTATAATGCATATTGTACTATAAAAATATAAAAACACACTGGGGGCATTTAGTGTGAGAAATCTGTCCTGATAATTACTAAACCATGGGGAGATACTTCCTACTGACACCAATTTCAACATCTGCTACATAAACCAAACATACATCATGTGTGTACAAAGCCGTCCTTACTTGGGCACCTCAAGTGTCTCATGCTGTCAGCTGCTGCCATGTGCTTTTCCAAAGGCCTCACACTCCTACAATGAACATCTTCAAAATCTGGTACCACGTCAGAATTATGACTTCTAATGCTACATTATCTCTAGAAAAAACAATGTATCCACATATTCCAAATTGATAGAATTCCCCTCAATATTAATTCCTTTCTTCTACAGAGTTTGATTTTTTTCTTTGAACGCTTTCGTGTATGTAAAACATTTATATAGTTCCACTCCAGCATCAATTACCTGGTGATCAGTAAGCTGTGACTCTCTAAATGCTTTTATACTTTTGTTGCACTCTGTGATTTTAGCCCTGTGACTGATTTCTCTGAGACACAGGTTAGATTCATAGGTAGACGCTAATATACGGGACATTGTTAGGGCTGTCTCTCCACGTGAGTTCTTTGATATTTAGTACTGTATGACATGGATACCCCCCCGACATTCATTCCAGAGAGAGCCCACAAACCCCCGCTCCCTTGTCTTCTGATGCCAATTAAAGACTGAATTTCCATAGGAGAGGGTCTCCACATTATTAAAGTCATAAGGTTTCTCCTGGGTTCTCTTGGCGTGACAAAATTTGACTTCGCTCAGGAGGGTTTTCCATATCTGCTGCATCTTTAGGGTATCTCTCTTGTGTGAATTACCTGATGCTTTGTGAGAGTCGATTTCTTGCAGAAGGACTTCCCACATTTGCTACATTCATAGGGCTTCTCCCCCGTGTGTGTGCGCTGGTGAACCGTGAGCGTCGACTTCATACAGAAGGACTTCCCACATCGCTTACACTCATAGGGCTTCTCCCCTGTGTGAGTTCTCTCATGATTTATGAGGTTTGACTTCACATAAAAAGTTTTCCCACATTCCTTACATTCAAAGGGGTTCTTCCCTGTGTGAGTTCTCTGATGGACAGTGAGGTGTGATTTCATACAGAAAGATTTCTCACATTCATTGCATTTATAAGGTTTCTCTTCTGTGTGAGTTCTCTGATGTATGGTTAAGGCTGACTTATAACAGAAAGATTTCCCACATTTGTTACATTCGTGGGGCTTCTCCCCAGTGTGTGTTCTCTGGTGTTCAATGAGGTGTGACTTCTGGAAGAAGGTTTTTTTACATTCCTTACACTCATAGGGTTTCTCCCCTGTGTGTGTTCGCTGATGTTTAGTGAGGTGGGACTTCTGGAAGAAGGTTTTCCCACATTTCTCACATTCATAAGGTTTTTCCCCCGTGTGTATTCTCTGGTGTTGACTGAGGGCTGACTTCATATAGAAGGATTTCCCACATTCATTACATTTATAGGGTTTCTCCCCCGTGTGAGTCCTCTGGTGTACAGTTAAAGTTGACTTATGGCGAAAGGTCTTCCGACATTCGTTACATTCATAGGGTTTCTCTTCCGAATGTGTCCTCTGATGATCGGTGAGATTGGACTTCATGGAAAAGGCTTTCCCACATTCACTACATACGTGGGGTTTCTTTCCCGTGTGATTTCTCTGATGAATATTAAGAAGTGACTTCACATAGAATGACTTCTCACATTCATTACACTTAAAGGGCTTCTCTCCAGTGTGAGTTCTCTGGTGTATGATGAGGGTTGACTTCATATGGAAGGCCTTCCCACATTTGTCACACTCATGTGGTTTCTCCCCTGTGTGCGTTTTCTGATGTTTAGTGAGGGCTGATTTTTTATAGAAGGACTTCTCACATTCATTGCATCCATAGGGTTTCTCCCCCGTGTGGGTTCTTTGATGTACTATTAGGATGGAATTCATGGGGAAGGCTTTGCCACACTCGTTACATTCATAAGGTTTCAAACCGGTGTGAATTTTCTGATGTTTAGTGAGGTTTGATTTCACACAGAAGGCTTTCCCACATTCCTTACACTCATAGGGTTTCTTCCCTGTATGAGATACTTGATGGATAATCAGGGCTGATTTATAGCAGAAGGACTTCCCACAATCTGCACATTTATAGGGTTTCTCTTCTGTATGCTTCCCCTGGTGTACGTGCAGGGCTGACTTATAGTAGAAGGATTTCCCACATTCATTACATCCATAGGGTCTCTCCCCTGTGTGTGTCCTCTGATGGTCAGCAAACTGTGACTTCTGTAAGAACGTTTTCCCACACTCATTGCATTTGAAAGGTTTCTCCCCCGTATGTGTTTTCTGATGTTTGGTTAAGTTCGATTTCACACCGAAGGATTTCCCACATTCCTTACACTCATAAGGTTTCTCCCCTGTGTGAGTCCTCTGATGATGATTGAAGTTTGATTTTGCGTAGAAGGATTTCCCACACTCGGTACACTGATAGGGCTTCTCTCCTGTGTGAATCCTCTGATGGACTTTGAGGGCGGAGTTATGACGAAAAGACTTGTTGCACTCACTGCACACATACAGCCTCCTTTCTGACTGTGTCCTCTGCTGACCAGGAGGGGCCAATTGAACCGGGGCTGTGTCACACTCACTAGGCTTCTCTCCTGGGTGAGATCCCGGAGGGTCTGTGGGTTGTGATTTCTGAAAAGTTTTCCCACATTTATTACTTTCACATGGTTTCTCTCCTGTGTGTATCTTCTGGTGCTGAGTCAGATGAGACTCCTGATAAAAACACTTCCCACAGTTACTACATTCAAAGGTTTTCTCTCCCGTGTGAGTTGCAGGAGGTTGAGTGAGATGGGACTTCTTGCTGAAGTTATTCTCATTTTCATTAGATTCTTGGGTTTTCTCCTCTACGTTAACTTTCTGATGTTTTAAGAGGGCTGACTTCTCACACTCTTTAACCTCAGAGTGACTCTTCCTTGTGTGAGTTTCCTGAAGGACTTGGCAGGCTGACTCATCACTGATATTTCCCCCATGTTCTGTACAATCAGGGGGTTTCTCTTCTGTTTGAGCCCTTGTAGGTGGAATGATGGCTGACTTATTAAGGAAGGTTTCTCCACATTCATCATCTTCAAAAAGTAGTCCCAAAGTTTGAATTTTGTGTTGCTCAGTAAGGTCCTGAGTCTGACTGAGGGATTTCCTGTCTTGGCTATGTGCATCAGATTTCTTCCCAGTAGGAATATTTTCTTGATTATTATCAAAAAGAAATTTCTCACATGCAGTAATTTCATCAGAGTTCCTACTTGAATGACTTTTATCACTAATAACGGATTCTGAAACATTTTTCAAACTCTTTCCACATGAATCATACTCACAGGGTGTTTTTCTGCAAACATTCTCTCTCTTCTTAGTCAGAGATTTTTTGTTAATGAGTGAAACTCGCCACAAACATTTATCTTGGTTTTCCTGGCTTCTGTCTATAAGGTCATAAATAAGAAAACTTAAGTCTACTTTAAAGATGTTAACACATTTTCTATGATTACCAAGATCAAGATAATTAACACATCCATCACCTTATGTAGTTAACACAAGTAGATTGTGCGTGTGGTGAGAATGGTCAACATCTACTCTCAACAACTTTCCTCTGTTCTTACTGTCTTAGTCCCCATGCTGTGCATCACACCCCCAGAACTTGAATAAGTCATTTGTGAGGAAAAAAAAAAATCAAGCTGATCTAAGACAACCATAATAGCATTTAGTGCTAAAAGCAATGGAGAAAGAATGACAAATCCTTCAAGACTAAAAGTAAATCCCAATAGTTTCATATGTAGACAAAATGGTACTCAGGTGAAGTAATGCCAGTGAGTCTGAACATGCAAGAATGCAGGTAAATACTGTTTTCATGAATTCTTAAAGAACCTACTAGAAAATGAACTTCAATCAAGAAATAGTAGGGGTGCCTGGGTGGCTCAGTTAAGCATCCAACCTCGGCTCAGGTCATGATCTCATGGTTTGTGAGACTGAGCCCCATGTCAGGATCTGTGCTGACAGTGCAAAGTGTGCTTGGGATTCTCCCTCTGCCTCTCTCTCTGCCCCTCCCCAGCTCGCTCTTTCTCTCTCTCTCTAAGGAAGGAAGGGAAGAAGGAAAGGAAAGGAAAGGAAAGGAAAGGAAAGGAA